CATACATACATACATACATACATACATACATACATACATACATACATACATACATACATACATGCATACATACATACATACATACATACATACATGCATACATACATACATGCAGTTCCAGACAGTCAGTGCCTCACCTGTCACAAAGCTCACTGCACATCACTGGTGCAGGAGGACCGGGTCCCAGCAGGGAAGGGCTGGATCCACATGCCGGATGGCTCGGAGAGACAGAAATGAGAATTAGTATATCTGAACTATCAAAACACAGAATGTTGACGGGGGCAGCAAAAACTTACCAAGCCCCCAAAGGGGGACCCCGGTGCAGACAGAGCGGGTGCATGGCGGAGGACAGGCGGAGCAGAATCACAGATCGTGCCACCATGGAAGGACAATGCTCAGCCTGTCAGGTGGGCAGCTCTCAGACTAAATACTAGTTTCTAATGAGTCAAGCAGGAACAACTGGGTGAGGATCATGAGTGATCATCACAGAGAAGGTTTTCACAGATGTGCAAAAGTTACATGTTTAGGGCTTCGTTTAGGGCTAAACCAACCAATAAACATTTTATTGCAAACTAAAGTGTTGTGTTTGGATGAGAAATAAATGGTGCATGTAAGAGTTAGTGAGTTACCGACTTTAGAGTGTGGCCATGGGTTTGGTCATCACAGGGAGGAAGGTTTCTAAAGAATCCTCTACAGACGACGTGGCAGATTTAACTAAAAGTGATGAAACTTAAGCACTTGTATTTTAATTTTTTTTTGCAAAGATCATTTTACAAAATATTAACCAACGCAGATACAAAAAATGACTTTCAGCAGACAGTTATATGTAGGATAATAATTTATACGTGAGACTTGTTCAGAGCTCTGAAGCCTGCAGTTCTTATGCAAACACAGATTTCAGCTTCCAAAACAGGCTCATCAAAAATCAGTTTATTTTTGGACTCCATTATTACTCAAAAAATTCATTTTCAGCTCATTATGAACCAAAAAGAGTAATGAAAAATCATACATTTTGACCTAAAGTGATCTCTATAACATACATCAACATGCCGCCGTTGTTTATACATAATTTTTAATAAATAAAAAACCCTGCAAATGTTTGTAGTGGGGTAGTTTAGCTAACTGGAATAGGAACCACGTTGTTAGTCTAATGACAGTGAGTGAGCACTGGATCAACTGGATCAAAATAGTGGTTGCCTCTGAATTTACACAAAATAAATATAAAACTAGATTTTTTTTATTATTTTTTTAAAGAAATGCATATCCACTGCACTTTCAAGGTTTTATCCAAAGATCTCACACATCTTGTTATTGCTCAGAGCAAGTGTTGTGGATGACTCTCAGCTACATCTACAATTTACTCAATCTCTGTAAATTTGACTGTTTTAGCCATTTCTGTGTTTACTAAGGTTGGTTGTTGTGGTGGCCATCTCAAATTACATTTACTCCAAAGGTAATTTAGTTGTAGGTATGCAACCAGTTATTATTATTGATTATTATTATTGTTTTTGTCAGAGGACAAATTGACCTCATTTCCTTAAATGAGTTACTAACATTTAATAGTTTTGATTTGATATTATTTCTATCTTAACATGTGATTCTTGACCTGCCATTGTGTATCTGTTCCTACCAAAGCAGATGTCCACTTGTCCTGAGTCTGGTTCTGTTAAAAGTTTCTTCCCCATGAGGGAGTTTTTCCTTTCCACTGTCGCCTTCATGTTTGCTCGAGATGAGAGTTCTGTGATGGAGTTAAACTCAAAGCAGTCTGCTCTTCAGATAAATAGTGTTATCAACTTATTTGTTATAAATATGAACGTTTCTGTTCAGTGCCCTGAGATGACTTCTGTTGTGACTTGGTGCTATCTAAATAAACTGAGTTGAATTGAATTGAATACATTTTTGAAGGTTTTATTTTTAATATTCCTGCAGAGTTTTATAACATATTTTGGTAACAGACAAAGACTCACACAAACACAGTAAATTACAAGCAATTAATGAAAGTTTTCAGCAAAAAGGCAAAACAAAATGGGTTCTGGTGTGTAGGATCAGGCCATTACAGCACTATCACACACCTGGTGTGCATAATTTCAGAATCATCAAGGTCAATGTCGTTTTTTTTTTATTGTCATCTGCATTGCATGTGGTACATGTGGTGGAACAAAATTGTGTACACAGGGTCCCAGTTACATCCAACAAAAGTACAAAACGTAAAATAAAAACAATAATAAGATCTAAGATGTGAACTAAGAAATACGCTAAACTAAATATGACATCTAATCAACATCTAACAGGTCACCGTTGTTGTTTTTCTTTTGCAGGGGTTGTCATAGCGACAACTCACAGGAAAGATTTGATTATTTTTTTTACACTGAATGCTCTTTCTGACTCAACCTGGGCCAAAACCTGCAACCTCAGGATTACAAGACCATGACCCTAACTTCCAATGAAAAAAACTTTTTAAAATTATTGTCAGATCTAAACTATAACTATTTTTGTAAAATGTAGCAGTTGTTAATTGATGAACACAAAACCCCACCCCAAATTATTTGTTTGTTTACTTAATTTACCATTCAGTCGGATAATAATGTATCAAGTCACCCTGAGGCTTTATTAGTTGTGTCATCTCATGTAGCACCTAATTGACTATTGGTTTGCACTTCCTAATGGTCCTGATATTGCAAGGCGTCCACAGATGATGCATCAGTAACAACCACAACAATGCTCATCTGCTTTTGTGTGCTGAGAGTGTTCAATTTTAATTTTCCTTCATCAGAAATGAAAAAATAGCAGGGAGGCACTTATGACAGGATCAGATCTGTGCATGAGAAATCAGGGTTTGAGATCTGTTCCCTAGACAGAGAGAAAGAGGGATGCAAAAATGTAGAAATTAAATATGACAGGATGAGGGAGGATGAAGAGAAGAAGCAGAGGAATAAATGGGAGCAGACGAGAAATGAGCAGGAGGAAGAGATGAGGGATAGATGAGATGAACAGGGCCAATAAAACTTAGAAGGTGAAAAGGCTGCTTTCGCTCTGCAGAGGCAGTAAAAGAGGTGACTGAAGGTGTGTGTGTGTGTGTGTTGTTTGTACATTTGCACATAAAGGTGCAAGGTTAAAAGTGTGGCGGGACGTCCTCAAAATGGTTATTTTGCTTCATTCTTGGGTAAATGGGACATACTTGTCAGTAATAACTCTGCCTGGTGTGTGTGTGTGTGTGTGTGTTTGTGCGCGTGTCAGAGTGTGAGGTAGATGGGAAATGCTTGTCACTGATGGCTCTGCATTAGGAGTGTTGGGTCCCCGAAGAATTGAAAACTGAGCCCAAATGACAAAGTCACAGCGGGGAGTTTTCAGGGCGATGACAGTGCTGCAGAGACCACAGCACGGTTGTCATACACACAGACAACCACCAAAAGGAAGCACAGTTTATTCATCATCATTTATAAAAGCGTTTGTAGCTTTATTGGTTTAGTCAAAAGATAACTTCTAACAGTCTGATTCATTAGAAATGCTGAGAATAAAAAGTTAGAACTTTTTGGATCTGTAAAATAAACCTATCCATCCATCCAGTCAGCCAGCCAGCCATAATCTTCCGCTTGTTCCAAAACAAAGTAAATTAGATCAGCACAATACAGTGAACCCTCGCTATAACGCGGTTCACCTTTCACGGTCTCGCTGCTTCACGGATTTGCATCGTTCATTGTGTTCTGCATTCTGATTGGCTAAACAGTCTCAGTAGTTACTGTAGTTATTTGTAAAAAACGTTTATACAGTATTTTTATTTGTTAAACAAATGCTTGGGCCTGTAAAAAGGTTTTGTTCTTTGGTTTGAATGTATTATGGAGTATTTCATTGTATAATAATTTAAAAAAATAAATAAAGGTTACTACTTCACGCATTTCGCCTATCACGGGTTCTTTTTGGAACGTAACCCCCGCGGAAAACGAGGGTTCACTGTATATGGATGGATCACTTCACCACTTGCTCTTGCTGAGGGCGGATACTTTTCCCCTCCTCTCCCTTCTCCGCTTTGCTTTGCTGCTCTGTCCTGTCTGCGAAACTTCTTCTGAGCCTCTCTCTACATATCTTCCGAACCATCATTTTGTGAATCTGGTCAGTTGGTCTCTCATCACAATGGACAAAATTTTTGAGACAAGCTTCAGGTGAGCTGAACTGCCCAGACGACACATATGCAGCTGGATATGTCTCTGGAGGGAGTGGAATGTGATGTTTCTATCTCTGC